AAAATTCTATATACAGGTTAAGATTAACCCCCTGCCAATAATAAAAATTTTGGAAAAAGGTAACTCTTTTTAGAAGAGATATGATTTCCTTCCTTTGGTCATAGTTACAATCCAGTTTAATGCCTGTAAACCTGTTTTTCTAATCCCCAGAGTGACATCACAGAACACAATAATTTATTATGTTTTATTGCAGTTAGTTATGACAAAATCTCTCCCAGCTTCAATCTCTACCTTTTTGTTATACAGGATGGAAAAAAAAAAAAAAAAAAAAAAAAAAAAAGGCGGGGGGGAGAAAAAGAAAAAACCAACCAAATCTACCACCTCACATTCGGTACCGAACGAACCTGTGCAAAGAGTAGCCTAAAAGACATCCCCAGCGAACAAAAGGGTTTCTGTGGTTGGGGAGCATGCAAAGGTAAAGGCTTATTTGGGGCCTTGGCAGTCCTGCTACAAACCATGACAACTTCAACTTTTTTTTTTTTTTTTTTCTTTACAAAGATAGTCCCATTGCTGGTAATACGTGTAAGGAAACGTGAATAAATCACCAGCTCAACAACCACCCCTTCCCCCAGTGCTGGGAAAGAGGGAAAAGTCTGTGGCACCTGAACTGCTCAGGCAGCACTTTGCTCCACTGGACCTGAGGGAGAGCATTCAGAGTGAGTGCTAGAGAGCTAGAGAGACATACATCAGGGCTGCCCTTTTCAGGAATTATTATGCATCACGCTTATCTAATTAATGCTTATTAGCCAACCCCAAACTCTGACATAGCAAGACTATGCTTTCCTCCAACCTGACTTGTCTTTTTCCTCCTCTTACTGTACTGTCAGCAGATTTTTTTACATTGAGAACTAAATAATACTTTAAGTATCTGCTATTGGATTTCCTACAGTATACAGCCAATTGCAAGTGGTAAATAATAAATCACGCCCTTTGTCAGCGGCAGCAGATGCCATTCTTTTAACTTGCTTAGGTACAAGTGTACAGAATGCGGTCTCGAGGCTTCGAGAGTTTAAATCACACCTATTTAATTTTAGTATTTCTGATAGGTTTCTTGCAAAGGAGTTTTGGGGTTTAGTTTTTTGCGATCACTTCTTTTAATGACAATAGAGCAAAGAATATGGTGAAGGGTAGGCGCTTCCAAGTGGTGGTATCATCTCTTCACCCCCAAACAAAGCAACCTTTTTCTCATAGTGATGATTAATTTTGAATTGCAGAAGTGAGAGTGAAAGCCAAGAATATCAGAGATTTCTCTCCTTCTCCCCCACATAGTGCAGAGCTGGGTGTCCCATCTCTCATCCGTAACCTTTCACTCCTCTCTCTTTCCTGCAGATCTACTTGCATCTGTTTATTTATTGCTTATTTTCGGAAGATTTCCCCTCCCTCCCCTTACTCTTTCAGCATGACAAATATTCTGTTTGCAATAATTCAGATTTGTTATTGCTTCTTTATTCACCACCCGGCATTTTTTTTTCTTTTCCTTTTTCTCTTTCTCTTTTTTCTTTTTCCTTTTATTCCTCTTTTCTGTCTTTCTGAGATCAGCTCTTTAAAGCGTTTGCGATAACATCTCCGAGCTGGAGATTATTTTTCATTGGGCCTATTGTGAGCAGTCGCCGGCTTATTGCCCCGCTGCAGAGCCCGGTTGAGACTACACAAACGTAACAAATGAACAACTTGTCCTCTGCGGACTCACCGCGGGATCCAATTAGTTCCTAAACCTTTTTGCGCGAGTTTTCTAATTATTTTCAAGAGTTGCGGCTTTTATAGGCTTCCCTAAAACTCATCAAGAAACCAATTCTTTTTTCGGGTTAAATGCTTCTTAAAATTAGTCCTAGCATTGCCCCCTTAAAAGTAAAGGGTTGATTCTCCGGGCACGGGAGCACACTTGGTGCTTGGGTGGGTGCGTGGGGTTTCAGCAGGCGCTGCCACCGGCAGGCACACAGCGAAAAACAAATCCCTTTCAAAGGTTTCCATCTAAATACATTCACATAGGTTTAGTTTTTTTTCTCTATCTCTCTCTTTTTTTTTTTTTCTTTTTTTTTTTTTTTTTTTTTTTTCCGCTAAAACGTTTAAACATCGGTATGTGAGCCAGGGCGTCACGTGACCCCCCCAGCCCTCTGCCTCCCTGCAATGCCCTGCTCCTTCCTCTCCCCCCTGCTCGGCTCCTTCCCCCGGCCGGAGGGGCAAGGGGGGCAAAGGAGAGAGGTTCTAGCTCAACAACTAGGGCTACTTCAACAATATTTCAAGCCGAAGCGTTTGCAGCATTAAAAGTATATAAAAACATGCAGTATAGATAACTTCCGGAACAGTGTTCCTTTAAGATAAGGATTGCATTTTATACACATACGTAACATTGCTTGCTAAATCTGGTCAAATGATTCTATGGAAGCTAACAATATGTATATGTATATGCACACACATAGACAGCAATACTTTATAGGTCTCCAGTTACCATAGAGTCGAAATTAATTTCTTTCAGAAAAATAGTTCTTTGAACGCATTTCAGAAATTTCAAGAACAACACGTATCTATGTAATAGATTTTTTAAAAAAGCTTGTTTATTTTTCAGTGTGTGCATATATACTTAAATTTATATGTATGTATATATGTACGTAATTTTAAGCATCTTCAGTGTAAGCCAGAGTTTTTAGTAAGACACCCTACCTCGTACGAGCAATTTTTTAAGCAGACTTGATAAGAGTTCTGCCCCAAAACGGACATCACAATAGTGACCGTTGTGTTTAATTAAATACCCTGATCCTTTACATTTGAAAATACTGTTGTTAAAGACAATATGATCGGAGGGGGGGGGGAACATGTGAAAATGGTGGGCTGCTGTAATAAGCAGCCCTCTCATCTCCCTGTAACTTTAAAGCCTCTGGAATATTAATTTTAGTTAATAAAAGAGACAAAAAAACTATCAAGTATATATGAATTTAGCCTATTTTTTTATTTCTGTGTGTTCATAGTAAACATTTTTGTAAGTGACAAACACGGGCATATGACCACAGTATCACAATCAAGAAATTTTAAGACGACATTAACAATCACTCAAATTTATGCGGCATTTGCGCAACACAGGTTACATATTTGCAAGGTTTACCTATAAGTACAATAGGTATTAACATTTCACTACATTTAGAAAAAAAATAAAGGTGACCTGTTAGTGACCACACACATCAAAATATACACAACACAAACTGAAGGCAATCATTAATTTTGTCCCCTTCTGATTCATTTGAACGGGCAGTGCTGCAAACTGAAATAATGTTGCTGTTTTTTTTTTTTTTTTAAATTACTCCGTACACTGAGTGCATTTTCTAAAACCCAATCTTTGGTCTAAAAGTAAACAAACAAACAAACAAACAAAAAAAAAAAGGAACCCCAAAAAAAAAAAGCAGTTCAGTAAAGAAAATGATAAAATAATAAATGGCCGAAACGTATCTTGGGCATCTTTCAGTATTAATTCTCCTTAAATACAAATTACGTTTTAGGTTTTTTATAGTTTTCATAAATTTAGTGTTTTTTTTTTTCCTTTCAAGGTCTGCACCCACCGACATATCCATGATAACTTATAATACTGCAAACATGGAGAATCTGGCGGCTTTTAGTGATAGACTTATCGTATTTGAATAAAAGATTGCAAAAGCAGTCACTATTTAGATACACATTCTACTATAATTTTGTCTTCCAAACTTCATAGTCTACATTGTAATCTCCCCACATTGCACCTTGCTGACACTCCTCACCTTGGTGGAAGAATAAACAACCCTAAAGACTGAACAAACGTACAGAAAATGGGGGACTTAATAAAAAATACCTGGACTTTTTTGTTTTGCTTTTTTTTTTTTCTTTTAATTATCATTTACAATGCAAATGTGTGTAAAATGTTCACTTACAGTCTGATCCCATGGATGTTAATGTATTAAAGGGTTTGAAGAAGACCCCTGATTTTGATGTGTGAAATAATCAGAAAGTCCTCCAGAAAGTCCCGTTGTAAAACTTGGCAAAGAAGGTCTTAAGGACTCACAGGGGAGAGTGGAGGGCGCCTGTGGCGACGTGGAGGAGGAGGCTGCCCTGGCCGTCATTGAAGTGCTGCTTTGAGAAGTCATTGAAGGGTGAGGAACATGGGGGAAAAAGTAACTCGTCTGTCCTGCTAGGAGGTTTACAGAGCAAGGGTTTAGGGAATAGGTGCCGGAGCAGGGAACTGACAAGCCACACGGCACTGAGGCGGCCAGAGCTGCTGCTGTGAGGTGATGAGTGGCATAAGGTATCTCTCCATTGACTAGTCTATCAACACTTAACCCATTAGACGTGGAAAAGGAGTGGTTGTTTCCCAAGGAGTTTTGAGTCAACACTGAGCTGTAGGGCATGGGGTGGCTGGGGTAGGCGGACGTGGTCCCATTGTAACTCAAAGTGCTGCTGGCCCGGGGGTGGTGGAGGGAGAGGAAGGGGGACATAGGCCAGTACAAGGATCCTGCCCTATCCATGAATGTCAGTCCGGTGGAGGTGAGCCGGGCGCCCCGCTTGAAGGCCAGCTTGGCCCGCGAGGTGGTGGAGCGCCGGCGGAGCTTGCCGGTGGTGCCCCCGATGAAGACGTCGTCGCTGGAGGGGTCTAGCATCCAGTAGTTCCCTTTGCCCGGGTCGTCGTAGTGGCGGGGCACCTTGACGAAGCACTTATTGAGGGAGAGGTTGTGGCGGATGGAGTTCTGCCAGCCCTGCTTGTTCTCCCGGTAGTAGGGGAAGTTCTTCATGATGAACTCGTAGATGCCGTTGAGCGTGAGGCGCTTCTCGGGGCTCTGTCGGATGGCCATCATGATGAGCGCGTTGTAGCTGAACGGCGGCTTCTCGTACTTGCCGTTCTTCTTCTCCCCCTCCTTCCCGCTCTCCCCGTCCTTGGCCCCCTCCGCCGCCCCCTTCTTCTCCTCCGCCGCCTTCTCCTTCTCCTCCAGCTCCGCCGCCGCCGCCGCTCCCGCGTCGCCTTTGCCCGCCAGCATGTCCGCCTTGGCCACCTCCAGGGCGCCGGAGGCGGCGGCGGCGGCGGCGGGGGGCGGCAGGAGGAGCTGGCCTTTCTCCTCGTCCTCCTCCTCGGCCGCGGCGGCTCGCTGGGGCTGCTGCTGCGGCGGCGGGTGGTGGTGGTGGTGGTGGTGGTGGTGATGGTGGTGGGGGTGGTGGCTGTTGTGGTGGCTGTGGCTGCTGTGGTTGTTGTCGCTCTGGACGGCTTCGGGCACCAGGCTGTTTATGCTAAAGGAGGATTTCGGCAGCATTTTCACTTCCTTCCTATCTCCCATGTCCAACATCACACACTAGTCTGAGGGGGAAAGTTGCGGCGGCCGGGGGAGCAGCGCGCGGGGCGGCGGAGGAGGCGGCGGCGGCGGCGGTGG